CTGCCCACCAGTGATGTATCCACCCTGGTTTTGGGGTGCTTCATTGTCTCCCTTCTTCTGTCTGTCTGTGTATTCTTTTGCTATCTCTATCACCGCCAGGTATCTCCTCCTCGTGAACCGAACCCCTATGTCGAGGCCGGTCCCCAACAGACAGCCAGGAGGCAGGCTTGAAGAATGTGCCCTTTGGTGGTGGAAATTATTATATTATTGTGTATGCCTGAGTATTTAAAAAAAAAAAAAAAAAGTTAAAATGAATAGCGAGAAATACTGTTAACTGATGGAGGGGAATATAATCATTGTAATGAAACAAAGTATATGATTTGCTGAATGTAAAACTGATGATCTGCCCTGTAAACTTTCACTCAATTCATATATCTAAAGAAAGACCTGAAGTCCTGGTGTGGATCTGAAGGATAAGCACTGGACTGCAAACCACAAGGTCAGTAGTTCAAACCCACCAGCTGCTCCTCAGAAACCCTAAACAGGGTTATTATGAGTCAGAATCAAATCAACACACTTCACAACAATAAAGGAATAATAGTAGTTAATACTATTCTTACTCAAAATTTCACACCAACTCCTAAAGCCAGTAATGATAAAATTGAAGAATTCTACTAACTTCCTCAGTCTGAAAGGAGCTGTGCTACGTAAGTGGTTATGAGCCAGTTTGCTAACTTCAAGGTTGGCAGTTTGAAACTACCAGCTGTTCTGTGAGAGAAAGATGAGGCTTTCTGCTCCTGTTAAGCTGTACAGCCTTGGAAACCCTATGCAGGGTTGTTATGAATCAGAACAAACTCCATGGCACACCACCACCTCCGTCTGAAATTTATCAAACATGCAATCAAGATGCATTAATAATTGCTGGTAATTGGAATGCAAAGGTTGGAAACAAAGAGGAAGGATCAGTAGTTGGAGAATATGGCCCTGGTGATAGAAATGATGCTAGAGATCACATAAAAGAATTTACAAGCCCTTTTGGAAACAGCATAAAAGATGACTATACACATGGAACTCAACAGATGAAAGTCACTGGAATTAAATTAACTACATCTGTAAGAACAGATCATATGTAAGTTCAGGTTGAAGCTGAAGAAAACTAAAACAACTCCACGAGAGCAAAAATATGAACTTGAGTACGTAAAATGAAAGAGCAATATAGGCACGAAGTGACTGACTTACAAGTTTTCAAGAGGGAGTTTAGTTTAAGAGTGTACAGGCGAAGGTAGAGTCCTACTGAATAGTTTTTATCTTGTTTAGACTGGTCTGGTGAAAAGAGATGGAGATAAGATTCTTATGGTTCAAAAGTGAGTAATTGTTATCATGACTGATTACAACTGTCACAATTGTATAACAAAAAGGGGGGGGTTAGCTAATCTTATAGTCCAGGAACAGAGGACCCTAGGACTATCAAGGGAAATCATTGGATAATCTCTTTGATATCTCAAGCGAGTAAAGTTTTGCTAAAGGTAATACAAAAACGGCTACACTCATACATTGACAGAGAACTTCCAGAGGATCAAGCTGGATTCAGAAGAGGCAGTGGAATGAAAGATATCATTGCTGATGTCCGATGGATCTTGCCTGAAAGCAGAGAATATCAGAAGGATATTTACCTATGCTTTATTGACTACACAAAGGCTTTTGATTGTGTGGATCATGACAAGCTATGGACAACATTGAGAAGTATGAGTATTCCAGAACACTTAATTGTACTTCTGAGAAATCTGTACCTAGAGCAAGAAGTAGTTGTTCGAACAGAACATGGGAACACTGAATGTTTTAAAATTGGGAAAGGTGTGAGACAGGGTTGTATTCTTTCACCATACTTATTCAACCTGTATGCTGAGCAAATAATACGAGAAGCTGGGTTCTATGAAGAAAAACATGGTGTCAGGATTGGAGGAAGTCTCATTAACAACCTGCGATATGCAGATGATACAACCTTGCTTGCTGAAAGTGAAGAGGACTTGAAACATTTACTTATGAAGATCAAAGAGCACAGCCTTCGATATGGATTACATCTCAATGTCAAGAAAACAAAAATCCTCACCACTGAACCAATAAACAACATTCTTATCAATGGAGAAAAGATTGAAGTTGTCAAGGATTTCATTCTTCTTGGATCAATTATCAACACTCGCGGAAGTAGCAGTCAAGAGATCAGACAACGTATTGCATTGGGCAAATCTGCTGCACAGGAACTTTTTAAAGTATTGAAGAGCAGAAATGTCAGCTTGAGGACTAAGGGGCGCCTGACCCAGGCCATGGTGTTTTCAATAGGCTCACATGGATGTGAAAGCTGGACAGTGAATAAGGAAGATTGTAGAAGAATTGATGCCTTTGAGTTGTGGTGTTGGAGGAGAATACTGAAAGTGCCATGGACTGCCAAAAGAACCAATTGATCTGTTTTGGAAGAAGTACAGCCAGAGTGCTCCTTGGAGGCCAAGATGGCTAAGCTTCGTCTCTCATACTTTGGACATATTGTCCGGAGGAAACAGTCACTGGAGAAGGATGTCATGCTGGGTAAGGTGGAGGGTCAGAGAAAAAGAGGAAGACCCCTAACAAGATGGATTGGCCAGGTGGCATCATTGATGGACTCAAGTGTGGCAGCGGTAGTGAGGTTGGCCCAGGATTGGACAGTGTTTTGTTCTGCTGTGCATAGGGTCGCTATGAGTCGGTTCTGACTCGATGGTACCTGACAACAACAACAACATCCAGAGAAGCAGTGACACCAGAGATGAAGGCAGAGATGAGGACATGGAGAGAGGGAGCAGCTAAGGACTCTAGATTCATGGAAAATGAGGGACTGAGTGCTGGAGGCCAGGAGGCAGGCTTGCAGAATGTGCCTTTTGGTTGTTTAAATTATTATATATTTCTGAGTGTTTCTGTGTACACCCCGCCCCCCAAACAAAGCAAAACAGGGAATGGAAACAAATACTGTTGAATGGTGATGCATGGAGGAGATTGTAATCATTGCAATGAAATGATGGTGTAAAGTTGATGTTCTCCCATGTATACTATCACTCAGTTTACAATAAAAACATACCCAAAAAAAAGAATGAAAGAGATAATCAAAATGGGGGAAAAAAATCTTTTGTTACCAGAATATGTTCATTGCAGCATTGTTTATAATAGGGAGCAACTTTAATTCTTGTTTTATGTTATCATAGCATTTTGTGGTTTTCCTCTCATAGCAGCTAACACAACTGTAACTTAATACCTATGTAATTATTTTTAAATGAATGGAATCAAGGCAAAGAAATAATAAAGCAAAAGCAGAAGTGAAAAAATTATCTATCTATCTATCTGACCTTGAACATACCTCACCTGAATTTAGAGACCATCTCTAGAACAGATGCATTAGACACTACTGACCAAAGACCAGAAGAGTTGTGGGAGGACATCAAGAACATCATACAAGAAGAATGAAAAAGGTCATTAAAAAAGCAAGCAAGAAAGGAAGGTCAAGGTAGAATTCAGAAGAGTTTCTGAAATTTGTTCTTGAACACAGAGTAGCTAAAGTGAATGGAAACAGGGATGAAGCAAGTAAAAGAGCTGAACAGAACATTTCAAAGGGCAGCTTGAAAGACAAAGCCAAACATAGTAAAATGTGCAAAGACCTGGAATTAGAAAACCAAAAGGAAAGAACATACTCAACATTTCTCAATCTAAAAGAATTGAAGAAAAAAATTCAAGCCTTGACTTGCAAGATTGAAAGAATCTACGGGCAAAATAGGGATCCTCGTGTGGCGCTGTGGGTCAATGTCCTGGACTGCAAAGTCGGTTTGAACTACAATGTTGGTGGTTCAAGCTCACCAACTGCTCCTTGGAAACCCTATACAGAGTTGCTATGGGTTGGAACTGACTCAACAGCGTATAACAGCAATAACAACATGGGGAAGATACTGAATGATGCAAAAAACATCAAAAGAAGAGGGAGGACAGACAGGTGGTAACCTGAGGTTTCAGCAGACATGGCTCCCAATGTTCCAGAGGATGATCTGGCCCAAGAGTATCCTAAAGGCATCTGGGCCATGCTGCTGGGGCCTCCCGGGGCTGGCAAGGGTACCCAGGCACCCAAATTGGCCAAAAACTTCTGTGTTTGCCATTTGGCTACTGGGGACATGCTAAGGGCTATGGTGGCTTCTGGTTCAGAGCTGGGGGAAAAAGCTGAAAGTAACAATGGATGCTAGGAAACTGGTGAGCAATGAAATGGTGGTGGAATTAATTGAGAAGAATTTGAAGACCCCTTCATGCAAGAATGGTTTTTTTTTCAGATGGCTTCCCTTGGACTGTGAGGCAGGCAGAAATGTTCTATGACCTCATGGTGAAGAGGAAAGAGAAGCTTGATTCTGTGATTGAATTCAGTATCCCAGACTTTCTGCTCATCCAGAGAATCACAGGAAGGCTGGTTCACCCCATGAGTGGCTGTTCCTACCACGAGGAATTCAACCCACCAAAAGAGCCCATGAAAGATGATATCACTGGAAAGCCTCTGGTCCGCGGATCAGATGATAATGAGAAGGTTCTGAGACTCTGCTTGGAAGCCTACCATACTCAGACCACCCCACTGGCGGACTACTACCGGAAACGCGGCATCCACTGTGCCATCGATGCGTCCCAGACCCCTCATGTCATATTTGCAAGCATCCTAGCAGCCTTCTCCAAAGTCACATCCTAGTAACAGAAGGCCAAGTGAGACTACACTGCTGCTTATCACCCCGAGGCGTGATCCCTGCTCGTAGGTGCTGAGCAGAGGGGAGGGGTGGTCAGGGGCTCAAGAGGTGTATTGGGGAAAACGGCAGTGTTATTGTAATGAGGTGGGTTTGTTTTGTTTTGTTTCCCACAAAGGTGGGAGTGGTTAAAAGCATAAGAAAGGAGAAAATTAATTTTTTTTGAAAAATCAACACTATGATTGGGGGAGGGGTGTGGGTAGAAATAGGGAACCACAGTATTATAATTTCTATAGAATCAGGTTTTCATTTACTCTGTACAGGTGACGACATTTTGTAAGCTGGTGCCCTTAGACCTCAGCTTTTATCTCAGAATCTCATGACTTGCCAGTCCAAGAACACAGGAAAATGAACTATTGTACTGTCTTCTCTATAACTTGGAATAGGAAGATTTGGACTACTGAATCTGATTCCCCACAGCATGAAATAAAAAATTCATCTCCACATTTGAAAGAGATACATGGTGCATTCATGGAATGGGTACATTCATGCCCATTCCAAAAGTGGCTCAGTGAACCCAGTTGACTGGAGTCATGGGGAGGGGTGGGCATGCCAGTCTCACTCTCTTCCCCTGCATTGCCACTGAGTTAGCAGTCTGCCTGCTCTCATGGATCAGCTCCCAGCAGCCAGTCAGCACACACCACGGTCCTACACTCTTCCCTTCTTCCATCCATGGTGAAGCCCTTTTAATATATAAGCAAGTATCTTAAGCAATATCATCCAAAGATTGTCCTTTCCATCCTGAAATCCTGTAACTGGAATCACTCGACAGCACTGTGATATATTATTTTCAATGAGGTGCTTTAAGTAACCAATCAATTCCTTGTTTGGCCTCTAAGTCAATAAACTATGTTAAAAGTTTTGGGGGGAAAAAAGATGGGAGGAATACACACTGTCACTGTACCAAAAAGAAATGGCCAATGTTGAATCATATCAAGAAGTAATATATGATCAAGAACCAATGATACCAACATAAGAAGTTCAAGCAGCACTAAAGATATTGGTGGAAAACAAGGAATTGACAGAATACAAATTGAAATCTGTTAACAAATTGATGCAATAGTAGAGGCGCTGACTTACCTATACCAAAAGATTTGGAAAAGAGCTACCTGGCCAACTGATTGGAAGAGATCTGTATTTGTGCCCATTCCAAAAAGGGGTGATACTACTGAATGTGGAAATCATCAAACAATACCATTAACATCACATGTAAGTAAATTTTTGCTAAGGAGAATTCAAAACTGAGTGCAACAGTATATCAGCAGGGAATTGCCAGAAATTCACACTGGATTCAGAAGATGGCATGGCACTAGGGATATCATTGCAGACATCAGGTGGATCTTGACTGAAAGCAGAGAATACCAGAAAGATTTTTATTTGTGTTTTATTGACTATGCAAAGGTTTTTGACTGTGTGGACCATAACAAATTGTAGCTAACATTGCAAAGAATGGGTTTCCAGAACACTTAAATGGGTTCATGAGGAACTTGCACATAGATCAATAGGCATTTGTTTAAACAACAAGAGAATAGTGAATGGTTTAAAATCAAGAAAGATGTATGCCTGGGTTGTATCCCTTCACTATACTTATTCAGTTTGTATGCTGAGCATATAATCCAAGTAACTAGATTATATGAAGAACATTGAATCAGAATTAGAGGAAGGCTCATTAACAACCTGTGAGATGCAGATGCTAACTTTGCTTGCTGGAAATGAAGAGGACTTAAAATATTGATGAAGATCAAAGACTACAGTCTTCAGTATGGGTTTCTTCTCAATGTAAAGAAAACAAAAATCCTTACAACTGGATAAATAAATAATATCATGATAAACAGAAAAAAGGTTGAAGCTGTCAAAGATTTCATTTTGCTTGTTTCCACAAGCATTGAACTCAAACATTGAAGCAGCTGTAAAGAAATAAAAGGGTATATTTCACAAGGCAAATATGCTGCACAAGACCTCTTTAAAGTGTTGAAGAGTAAAGATGCCAGTTTGAGGACTAAGGTGTGCCTGACTCACTCCATGGTATTTTCAATCACCTTATATGCATGTTAAACGTTGGACAATGAATACAGAAGACTGTAGAATATTCTATCTATTTGATTTATGGTGTTGGACAAGAATAATATAAATACCATATTCTGGCACAATGAAAGGCATATAGATCTGTGGAATGGAATTGAAAATCCACAAATATATCCATCCATTCATGGTCAGTTGCTCTTGAAGAAAAGGGCCAAAAAACGTTAAATAGGAATGATATGGTATCTTCAACAACTACTGCTAGGAAAACTGGAAATATGCAGAATAAGACAAGACACATATCTCAAACCATGTATAAAAACAAGCTCAATGCGGATTCAAGACCTTAATGGGAAGCCTAGAACTATAAAGATGATCAATGAAAAAACAAGGACAAACAATCATTGCTAAACCCAAGCCTATTGTTGCTGTCACTGTGCCAATCCATCTCATTGGTAGTCTTTCTCTCCTTCTCTAACCCTCCACTTTACCAAACATGATATCCTTCTACAGGGATTGGTCCCTCCTGATAATATGTCTAAAGTTTGAGAGATGAAGTTTGACCATCCTGGCTTCCAAGGAGCATTCTAGCTGTACTTCTTCCAACACAAATTTATTTGTTCTTTTGGCAGTCCATGGTACTTTTCATATTCTCCTGCAACACCATAAACACTGCTGATTGTTGTTGTTAAGTGCTGTCAAATCAGTTCTGACCCTGTATAGGTTTTCTGAGAAGTGGCTGGTAGGTTTGAACTTCCAAACTTGTGGTTCAAACTGACCTTAGGGTCCAGTGCATTATTCTACAGAGCCACACCAGGACTCCAAACCCTGCTGGTAGGACTGTAAAATGGTGCAACCACTGCAGAAAATAGTATGGAATTTCCTCAAAAAGTTGGAAATAGAAATGCTGTGTGACTCAGAAATCTCTCCGCTTGATGTATGTCCTGAAGAAATGAGAGCCATGATGCAAATTGTTGTGCTGCAGGATAATGCTCTGGATGGTGAAGCAATTTTGAACTGCAAGGTTGGCAGTTCAAACCCACCAGCTGCTCCTCAGAAACTCTATACAGAGTCACTTTGAGTTGAAACCAACTTGGCAGCACCTAACAACAATGACAACAAAATGGTCATTGCAGTACTATTCACAACAGCAAAAAGATGGAGACAGCCTAAATGCCCTTCAACAGAAGAATGGTTTGACAAACTTTGGTATGTTCCACTATGGAATACTACACAACATTGAAGAATAACAAAGAATCAGAGAAACCCCTCATAACATGGAGGATATTAGGCTGAGTAAAATTAGTCAATCACAATAAAAAAATATAAATGTTGTATGAGACCACTGTTATAAAAAGTTAAGAAAGGATTTTCTTGCTAAAGAAACATTCTGTGAGTGCTACCATGGGTGGGAAGGAAGGGAGCTACTCATGGAATAAAGCGGGTTGTTATTGTTAAGTGCTGTCCAGTCAGTTCTGATTCATAGACACCTGTGTAGAGTTCCCGAGGAGTGGCTGGTAGACACATTTAACTTGAGTGATGGGGAAAGCAATCTACAACAAGAGGGAGGATGGCACAGGAAAGATGAAGGCAGTGTAAGATACAGGGAGGAGTGCAATAGTTAAAGTGAATAAAAACTGTTAACTGATGGTACATGGAAGGGGCTGCAATCATTGCAATGACATGAAGTAAATGATTCATTGAATGTGGTACTGATAATCTGTTCAGTAAAGCTTCACACAATTCACAATAAAAACTTTCATTAAAAAAAGTACTGTGGACTGCCAGAGAACAAACAAATCTGTGTTGGATGAAGTACACTCAGAAAGCTCCTCAGAAGCCTATATGGTGAGACTTCATCTCTCATATTCTGGATAAGTTATCAGAATGGACCAGTCACTGGGGAAGGACATAATGCTTGATAAAAATGAAAGGTTGGATCAGTGAAAAAGAGGAAGACCTCCCAAAGAGATGGATTGACATAGTGGCAATGGGCTCCAACATTATAACAACAATTGTGAGGATGGTGCAGGACAGGTCAGTGTTTTGTTCTGTTATATATCGGGTCACTAGGAGTTGGAGTCAAGTCAATGGCACCTAATAACAAGATGCACCTTGGAAGAAAGGCCTAAAGATCTGAAAAATCAGCCACTAGAAACCCTAAGGATTACAGGATAGGGATTAAGGTTTCAGCATATATTTGGGAGGGCTATAATTCACACCATAGAATAGACACTCAAAGAGGAATATATGGTTCCACAGAAAGAGTATCCAAAGAAAGAGTATCCTTTCACTATTGAAAATCCATCTCATGTACTTTGGACATGCTATCAGGAGGGACCTGGAAAAGGACACCATGCTTGGTCAATTAGAGTGTCAGTTAAAACAAAAAAGAATAAGAAGAGAGAACAAACAAGATGGCAGATTGGGTGGACGTATAGCAGAGAGCTCTGCCAACAACAACACAGAAT